CCAGAACCATTCGTAGGTCTTGAAGACATCAGCGTGAGCGCAGTGTGGGTTAGAGTGAAATGATGAACAAATTGTAGAAGCGCAGCCTTTCGGGGAATAACGAGCACTCACTTTCTTCCATGTGGTGAGTAATTGCTCTGGTGCGATAGACCGCCTCGAATGGTGAAGTGTGAAGCCTGGCGTCGCATTAATCGAATGACCAGAAGTGTTGGTGCCTCGGATAAAACGTCCAAAAGCGAAGCAGTTCATGGATTGTCGCGCTGTGCCCAGGAGATTGTGTCGGTGGCAAGAACTGACAGCATGTGTTCTATACAGGATAAGGAGGCAGCCTCAGTGGAGAGTGGTGTTCGCGAGAACGCATCAGCATGAGCATGCTGGCGGCCAGAACGGTGTACGATGCTGAAGTCATATTCTAGAAGTCGGGGAGCCCAACGAGCAAGGCGATCGGATGGATCCTTCAGTGACGATAACCAACATAATGCATGGTGGTCTGTAAATACAGCAAACGTGCGGCCATAATTACGGGCGTAACTTTACAAGTGCCCAAAATATGGCCAAGCCCTCCTTTTTGGTAGCACTGTAGTTTAACTCAGCCTTGGCGAGCGTTCTGCTGGCGTATAGGCAACGACATGCTCAGGGAACCCGGGCTTTCGTTGAGCAAGAACTGCATCTAGACCGACGCCAATGGTGACTGTATGAATCTCAGTGGCAGCGGTGAGATCGTAGTGGTGGGAGAAGACGACGAAGAGTGGCGAATGTGTGATCACACCCGGAAGACATTGATGAGACGTCGTTGGCGCTGCCTAAACGTTAAATAAAAGGCGCAATTATGAAAGCGAAGTTGCACACGAACCGACGGAAGTACAAACATTATTCTACAAAGTTTCGTCACTTTTACAGTCGTCAATTTTAGGCATTCATCGACAGGGCATAGTTTAGCCGGGTCGGGAAGAACGCTGTCCTTTGATACGACGTGACCGAGAATGGTGAGATTCCGTGCAACGAAGTGGCATTTCTTGAGATTCAGTGGCAGCTGAACATTCTTCAGACGCGCGAAGACATGTTTCAGGCGTACAAGGTGTGTTGCGAAATCGGGTGCAAACACGGCAATATGATCAATGTAGCAGAGTCATATGTTCCATTTCACAACCCGCAGACGCGAGTACATCATGCGGTCGAATGTGGCCGGCGCATTGCTGAGGCCGATGGAGATGACATTGAACTCTTATAGCCAGTCGGGTGTCACGAAGGCTGTTTTCGGACGATTGGCATCTGCTAAGAGCACCTGCAGTACTCCGAACGCATATGTATCGATGAAAAAATCTCGGCCGTCATCAAAAAAAGGGTATACGTATTTTCGAATGATTTTATTTAGGCGCTTGTAATCCACGCAGAAGCGAATCGAACCATCCTTATTAAAGAACAAGTGATGCCCATGAACTTTGGGAATGTAAGATAATGTCGCACTTGAGCATATCGTCAACCTGTTTGGTGATAACCTGACGTTCGGCGGGAAAAACACGGTATGGTTGCTGTCGTACTGGCGCGTGGGAACCAGTGTTGACGTAATGAAAAAAGTGGAAGCTCAATCCAGGGTAACTTGATTTACGTCAAAAGATTCAACAACTGGTAGAGCAGCTGGGGTAGCTCCAAGCGATAAGATGGCGACAATTTGTCGGCGATCAATGAACAGAAAAGCTTGGAAGGTGGTACATTGGATGGGTTGTGGGCACTGATGGCGTTATAGTCCCCAGCATTATCTGGCGGCACGATAAAAATGTTTGTCATTGGCGTGCACGTGTTCAAGAGATTCAACTTGAAAAAGTTCGACGGGATACAGACGCGGATTGATGAGTCAGAGAGCACTGTTTCCTTTAGAAATGGGGAGGGTTGAATGAGAGAAAAGAAGTGGTTTTCGGCTAAGAGGCTTGATGGTTGAAAGAATGCAGCTTCGTCCCAAATGCCGTCACAGAACACGGGGAGCAACCAAGTAAGATGTCGTGTGAGCTTGATGAAAGGACAATAAACTTCATAATACAGTGATTATTCACGATTATTATTCGGGCAGTACAGGCGGCTACAGGCAGAAGAGATTTTCCATTTGTTGAACGCCAGGGCATCATATCCAGAGGCATAGTAATTTTTTGAAGCTGGCAACAAAGTTTGCCGTCTATAACGCAAACAGCACCACCAGTATTAACAAGAACATATGCGCGATTACATTCTACAAAAACTTTGACAATATTCGACGGCAAATTTTGAGGGCTTGAGCATTTCGACAGTGCAGTTCTTGCCTCCCGAACTGCGGCAGCTAGTTTCCCTCGCATTCAGGAACTGGCTGATGACGGATGGGTGTCAAGGAGCGACGATGGGGTGTAGGGGAATAACCAAACGCAGTTCGTGGATAGTCCCATGAAGACGCGCTTCACAGAGGGTCCATATTTTCAAAACGATATAGAGCAAGGTCCATGTAGCTGTTCTGTGTCCGGCCGTCTGTGCTTACCGGTACGCGACGACGGCAGTATCGAGCGATATGGCTAAGGCCACCACATGCAAAACAAATAGGCTTGTTATAGCGCGTTCTCCAGGAATTCGCAGCGAGGGGAGCAGCCCATGCAGAGGACGGGTGAGCTGGGGCTCTGGTAGCAATGGGAGGAGCCCGTGCGGTGGACGGCTGAGTCGGGGTTGAGGTGTATGGCAGTTCCTAAATTGGCGGGGGCTGGTGTATCTTGTTGCCGCGTTACTGCCTCAGCGACAGTAAGAGGCGCGGCTACAAGGTGCTGCTAAAAGGGCCCCGGCGTAGCCTTGAAATTTGCTCCTGGACCACATATCGGAGCATGTGAGCCAATAGTGTTAGGTGTCGCAGTGGCTCCTGCAGTGAGAGCTTCTGGAGTTGAGCTGAATGCAGCAGAGAAAGCTTCGGAGCCACTTCCTCACGCACGAAGTCTTCCATTTATGCGAGAAGTATGTCTGGTCATGTAGGACGTCTAGTGCGGTCACTGGTTGGATCGTCCGTGATGAACGTCGCGTCAGAGCTCGTTGCCCCCTAAATTCATCATAGCTCTGACACTGTCACCACTTCTGCCACAGCGGTAGGACATTAGGCGAGGAGCATCTGGAAAACGTCATCGTCGACGCCCTTCATAATGTGCTGCATCTTGGTACTCTCGCTTATGTAGACATCGACGTACCGGAAGAGATCGATTACGTCTCATATATGCAAGGCGAAAGTTTCATCTGATTCCTGTGCCCGCTTCAACAGAGATTGTTCGGCTCGTTGCTTCTGTAAAACGGGGCGACAAAAGATGGCAGATATTGCCCCCTTGAAAGCGGACCAGTTCAAGAACTTGGTTTCGTGGTGAGTATACCACAGCTTCGCCACGTTGGTGAGAAACGCTGACAGTGCCCGACTTAGCAGTGTCATCCCACCTGTTTAGTCCACTGACTTTTTCGTATGATGCCAGCCAGTCCTCGACATCCTGGTCTTCGGTGCCAGCGAAGATTGGGGGGTCTCACTGGTGAACTAGGCCGGGGCAAGGAGTGGCCGCGAGAGGTACCGTCTGTTCGAAACCGTGAACTTGCATCGTCGATGGCAGGGTGCGTGATCGGAGCTCCAGGGTGTAGGCGATGAGGTTACACAGCATGATCTACCGAAAGTAAGGAGGTTTATTTGGCGAGCCTAACGCATAGGCGGATGATTAGAGATAGCTACAGGAGGAGAAAGATGTTGGAGCTCGAGTACCGATCTCGTGGTGCCTTCCTCTCGTGATGACGCTTGTGTTTCTCTGTTGTTGCCTGCATCTTTTCATTAAATGTATAACACAGTTATGCTGGTAATAAATAATCAATGTGACGTGTACAAATGCCAATGCACCTCTTGCCAACAGCTGCGCACGCTGCTTTCACTACACATGGTTGGTTTTCTTTTTATTGCGATATGAATTATATGGACAATCTTAGCTGTTTTTAACGTTGTCAAAGCTGCCGTCATTCACCGTATACGTATATGTATCTATGTATAGGAAAATTCAAGAGAAAGAAAAACCGCCATGCGCTCCGCACCTATCTCATCGTGATGCGCCAACGCGCGCTGATCTCTCGCGCGTACTTTGCCCCACGCATGGGAGTAAGGGGGGGGGGGGGGGGGTTAAGTGCTTGAGCGCTTGCGCTTATCCTTCAGTGGGGAGAATCGTGTGCTTTCGCCTTTCACCGGAATGACTACGTTAGTTCCCTGGGCCACAAAGGTCTACTTCGCTCGCTGGGCATGCCCCATTGCAAAAAGAGCGCCATTTTCAAAAACAGCGAAGTAACGACTTGAGAACTCGTTAGTTCGCACTCATATCTGTACCTGTGATTGACGTTTTGCGCGTCGTTTTTGTTTAAATAGCGTGTTCAACGTAGAGTTGTAAACCATGTTAGTTATTTCATTATTCATGTCCTGTGTGTTTTCGCGCGTAATTTGTACGTGAGCAGCGCTTTGCGTGTTTCGATCTGCTGGCCGTTCTCAGCGTTACCTTCCAAATTACTGCAATCGCATTCATTGCTTCGCCCTTGCGACAAAATTGTGACTTTTTTTCCCCTGCGCACACAGTGATTGGCAGCGTTTTTCGTTTTTCTAAAACATGTGACAGTATGAAATGCTTAGCTAACATAAGAATTTCGCTTAAATCTCTTTTGCTGCGACCCCGCCGTGGTGATCTAGTGAGTAGGCTGCTGACCCACAGGTCGCGTAATCGAATCCCGGCTGTGGCGGTGGCATTTTTGATGGAAACGAAAATGCTGTTGGCCCGTGTACTAAAATTTAGGTGCATGTTAAAGAACCCCAGGTAGTGCGAATTTCCATAGTCCTCCACTACGGCATTTCTCATTATGATATATATGGTGGTTTTGGGACATTACACTCCCAATATCAATCAAACAAATCTCCTGTGATGCATGAGTGAAATCTGGTACTTTAACTAAACGAAATGATTACTGGTTCTCCGATTGCCATTTTTCAGTTCTTCGTGTCTTTGGGCCGTATAAACAAGTACCTTCGCTCGGACGAGCTGGATCCCAACGCTGTCCAGCACAATACAAGCGAAGGTTTGTGAGCTTTTCTTGATGGCTAAAGCTAAAATATGTGCTGGCATTCAGTAGCACGTATGTAGTCGCCCGGCGTGATTATCTTTGCTGGCTCAAATACCGAAATATCGCTCATGGCACATTTATCAGCTTTCAGTCTCAAAAAGCAGCTTAACGGTGGTGCGCAAAAATACGATTCAACAGAGGAATGGGTACAAAATATGGCACAAACTGTCAACTGAGAATCTATTGAACAACAGAGATATCTGGTTCGTGGTTAGATGAGCCCCTGTTAATGAAACGGTTAGATGTCCAGACAAAGATTGTTTTAATGAAGCGCTTCCAGGGAAAGCGAACTCGGTGGATAGTGGTAGTGTGTCAAGGTGAAAAAGTACATTTTATTAACAAAGCAGGTGATGCATGCGTTGCGAAACCCTCGGTCACGTTCCTTCCGGTGAGTTATCTTTCTTAGAAGCACGTCATTAGGATAACCTTTCTCTGCTTACCTAACCATTTCATCAACCTGTGTTCATCCAACTGCTTATATATGTATATTGCAATAAATTCTCTGATAGCTCGTTCTGTGTGAGGAATTTATTCGTGCACCAAACATAACTCGCAAACTCGCCCAGCAGTCCGTGCTTCTCAAAGGGCAGGCACGTATGAGCAGCAGTTAGCACTTTTACCCACCATTTCATCCCGCAAACGATTTGTGCTCGACCACAGGTAATCCATTAGTGATCAAGGACGCCAGCTTTGCCTGGGAGAAACACGCTCAGCCCACGCTGGACGACCTCAACATCAGCGTCCCCACGGGCGCCCTGGCGGCCGTCGTCGGTTCGGTAGGTTCCGGCAAGTCGTCCATGCTGTCAGCTTTCCTCGGCGACATGGTGAAACTCAAGGGCACGGTGAACATCAACGTAAGTGGATGGGAAGAAACTGAGTGTGTCCCCTCTTGTTTACGTCCCCAGTTTCTGTGGCGTCATGTATGCAGCAGCTTGCCCATGACTCGGTAGGCCGCGTGCACATGAATGATATAGCGCACACTAAGAAACGGACGGAGTGAGCAACACTGCACAATGCTTGTTTCAAACAGCAGTGGGAAACGCACACAAACTGCGTCAGCCGAATGCACATGTTTTTAATTATTCTCACTGGTTGCAAGCAATGATGGGTTCGGTTTCCTTTTGTGTCAAGTAGGACGTAATCGATTGGCAGGTAATTTTGTGGTGTACTGACCGTCTATGCGTAGTTACATCTTGTGTCTGTTTACATCGCTTCCAAGTGTTGTTTCTTGATGTAAACGCGAAACTTGAAACATACCTACTGGTCTTTTAAGCTAGCCTACTTAAAGAAGTAGATGTTCAGAAGTAGGACCGTGACGTTATTGGATAAGCCTGAGGCCTGGCTACAAAACGCACTTTGACACAAGGTAGAGTAGGCGCATGTGTCTGATTAGCCGTATCGTATGTTTTTTGTCATTTCACCACGTTCTCCAATTCACGACATGCGCCACCCTTAAGGTGGATACTCAAGATCAGCACTGTGCGTGGTGTGCTCGATAGCTGCTTCGGCTTCGCCGAAGGTGATAAACTATTTAGTATACTCAGAGTAAGTCTACATGCATATACAATAGGCAACCTTTTAACAGCAAACGTGAGCAACGTGACATATTCTGGGGAAGGGTCTGATAAAAAGAAGGTACAAGTGATAAAATGGCTAACCCTTATCTAAAAGCGCGAACTCTTTGCCATGCAACGCCACCGAAGGTTGGCTCACGCATCCATCGCCATGTTTTCTAATAAAATACGCTTCAGCTATTTCACGAGTTAGTTTGTCCATGTGGCGTACCAGCACACTCACGCCCGGAAATCGAGGCTGATAACCGCAGCTTTTGCAGTGCAAAACGAGGTTTGAACTAATTCCTTTGCCGGGCGTGAGTGTGATGGTACGCCACATGGACAAATTAACTCGTGAAACAGCTGAAGCGTATTTTATTAGAAAACATGGTGACGGATGCGTGAGCCAACCTTCGCTGGCCTTGCATGACAGAGTTCACGCTTTTAGATAAGGGTTAGCCATTTTATTATTGTACCTTCTTTTTATCAGACCCTTCCCCAGAATATGTCACGTTGCTCACGTTTGCTGTTAAAAGGTTGCCTGTTGTATATAATCATGTGTGCTGCGAATAATAAAAATATACACGCATCTTTTACTTTGTTTTACATGTTCATCTGCCGCCGTGAATGACAAGGGTACGCATATATTACACTGAGTTACGTATCGGCAGCAGTGCAAATGAGGCCAGCGTAAGACAAATTAAAGCTCTACTGCTATAAATGTGCATTTTCTACCGCAACAGCGCTAAAGAGCTTGTTTCGCAGAAATTCCGGCGTCAATTGTGGGCGAAAAACTATCTTGTACGTGACCGAGAAATCAATAAAGATGGTTTGGATGGCAGGCGTGTGTTATACCTTATAGCCACACGCCTGCTTGAAAATGCAGTGAAAGTAACCTTAATGCTTTACAAATACAGCATCCTGTGTACATGATTCACAATGCAACATGAAATGTCGCAGTAATATTGCGTGGTACAAGCATGCATTGCAGTTGGGGGTCAAACGTGTATTTATCATAACATCATGGTTTAATGCGGGCCACCAACTACGATAGGCACACACGTTACTGCACCTTTTGCCTAAGGCCTTGTAGTTGGTGCATAGCAAGCTCAAAAAAAAACATTCCCCGCGCACCATGTCCAGTGGCATAAAACGTGCTACCCCTTACACAAGAATGAAGCCGCATACGAAAGCTTCTCTGACGCAAGCCACTATGAACTCAGTACGCACTAGGGGCAGGATATCGCTATCCCGTTCAGCTCTCAAAGGCGTGGCCTAAGGGTTCTCTTTTTTTTTGCATACGGCTTTTTTCCTACTTACCTTGCGTACACTTACCGCATGCCTAAGGCCTTGGGGACTCAAGGGTAGTCCATAACATTAAAGAAATATGTAAAAGGAAAACGTATAGGTATATCCAGTAGACAACTTTCTTTTAGCCTCCCATCACGTAGTGATGTGAAGGTCACTCGAAGCATACACCGATATTGGATCTGCACTACACCCCCTCAGACGATACGAAAGCAGACATAGCTGGCAGCGTCACCAAATAGAATCGCCACGTGCGCTGTGTTGCACAGACAGCCTCCGGTGCGCTGAGAGCCCTTGCTAGGTGGCGACAACGCCTCCACCTATTGAGGGCGCAGTGAGACGGGGTGAGAGATGTAAGGTGCGTTTGTAGATTATCTCACGGCTCTGTGTCTAGCTGTTCATTAACTTTTCAAACATATCTTATTGCGAAGAAGGAAATATGCTATGTCCCGCATCGCTCAATATATATTGGATTGCCTGAAAATGGCACGCTTGAGCGCGTGAAGGAAATGGCCGCTTCGCCAATATCCAATGCATGATTTTACTTGTGACATACAGCAACACCACGTAACGGTTGTGGCGTACAGAAACGTATCATCTGGTTCGGCAGGAAAAGGCAGATTCGTATCGCCAGCAATATTCGCCTCTGCAGAGTTCCAGAAACTCGTTTGTAAGGTTGGTTCCTATTTAACAAATCTGAGAACTTGTTGAGATGATGCATAGTTAACGAAAAATGTTTCGAGCGCAAAAGCAGGGCATTCTTAAGAACGAGATAGGTAGTACGGGTGCCACTTTTACCTAGCTTTATTTGAGGCTTAGCCAGCAAATATATGCAAAAAACACATATGTCCTCGTTTTATTTACGGTGCTCGAAAATCGCCCTCATGACCTCATCTTCGGCATGGACTTCCTATTGACGCATTCTGCCCTGATCGATTGCGCCGCCGGTACTCTCTGCCTAGAACTTCCTGTTCTTTCGGATTCTCACCATGAACTCCCGAGCAGCCTTTGAACCATTGACTACTTCTGGATACAATTTAAAGCTTTCATTATCGTTGAATTCACAACACCCTTCCCCCCGTGCTCGACGCCGATTCTTGATATTCTCGTCGCACGTGACATCACTGTCCCACTCTCAGACATAACCATGGCCTCTAACCAAACTTATTCACCTATTATAAATTTTGGTTTAATAAAGCAAGTACTACATCAAGGAGTACTACCTCAGGAGGCTCTGCAGGCTGCTGCAGACAAGGTGGTGATTTGTTAGGGTATCATGAATCTGACCTGTCCACCCACTAAATCCAAACTGTTCCTCCTCCCTACCCATCGGGGCTCTGAAAAGCACACCTCTGGTATACAAATAACATTCAACAATACACCCGTCTCTAAAGTTGATAGCCTCAGCGTGCTTGGAATACACATTCAACAAATTCGACTAAACACACACACACACCCACACACACACACACGCACACGCACACGCACACGCACACACGCACACGCACACGCACACACCATTCACTCACTTCAGACACCTGTGGACCACACTCTACTCCTTATAGGCAAGATGTCTAAGAAACATTGCGGGCTACGAGAGGCAGAGCTCCTCCGCCTAATTCAAGCCTTCGTCCTCAATAAAGTGACTCTTTCTCTTCCTTAACTGCCCCTTCCGAGAAGGGAAGAAAATGACGTAGACACCCTGTTGCGCAAAATCTACCGATTCGCTCTTGGAGTCCCTATTCGAACGTCCGCCATACGGCGCCTAGAGACAGGCACACTCAACACCTTAACTGAACTTATTGAAGCACATTTCACGATAGTGCCAGTCTATCCAACACAAAGACCGGAAAATGCATACTCGATACCTTCAGTATCAGGCCAACTCCAGTCACTAACACCAAACACACTAATCCAAGCCTGAAGTACACATGAATCTAAACATTCCTTCGCTCCCTAAGAACAGGCACTCTGTGCACCACGAGCAGCGTCGATTACAGCGTGCAAACATTCTTGAAAAACAATTTTCTACTTCTAAAGATGTGCTCTACGTAGATGCCGAATACCGTACCCGTCCTTTTCTCGCCCTCTCAGTTGTGAATTCTCAAGGCCAGATAGCTACTGCTGCTTTTATTTCTGCTTCCTCTTCTGAGCAGGCGAAGGAAGCAGCCATTGCTCTTGCCCTAGCTGTTGCAAATTATTCATCTAATATTTGCAATTCAAAACCTGCTATCTAAAATTTTGGAGTGGGTAGGGGGTCCGAAACAACCCTCTCTCTCTTCCTAGCCCATCCCCCGCAACAAGACACTGCTTTAATATGAACTACCTGCGCACGCGGACCTTGCCGTAACGTGGGGGCTCACGCCAGCGCCCGAGGATTTACGTTCCGGGCGCAGGTGCTGGAAGAGCCAAGCTTCGTTTCTACAACAGGCACCGTTTGCTGCGCGGGATCGCCTCCTAAGATTTCACGACATCCGTAATCGCTACTCCCTCGGCAGTTTAACCTTACCGCCACTAATGTCAAAATCCCCGCGAAGGTACAAAGTACAGGGGCGACAGCTGCAGACTCGAACGTTTCTCTGCCCCTACATTCTTCACCTCATGTACGCTTCCCTTTACCCGTCCTCCTCCTGTAAATATTGCTCCGCACGGAAAGCACATCTTAATCATATCACGTGGGGATACCCTAAGCACCCCCTTCAACCGTCCTTCCGAAAAGTAGTTAGTAATGAGGAGCAGTGGGAGGCTGTCTTGCGCAGCTTGAAACTTGACGTCCAGGAGGTCATCCTGGCTTGCGCAGAAAGGGTTGTGGAGGACTACCGAGCGTAGCAACCTCTCATCTCTATACCATCACCCCTTTCCCTAACAAAGAAAAATGTTTTTACCTACCTACCCTATTTACTTTCCTTTTACGTGGCCACAGGTTCGATCGAATAAACAGTTTATTCTTCAAAGTACCGTCTGCTCCCTTTGTCGACGTCCCGACCCCGTGA